TCAGTGCGCTGATGTCTTCTCCGTTCCCTTTTGCTTTCTGCAGATAACGATGCTGGGGATCCAGAAAGATCTGAAGTGGTCCACAGATCCAGAAGAAGGTCTGCTCATTTACCTGCCGCAGCTGCCACTCTTCACTCTGCCAATTGAGTTTGGCTGGACTATAAAGCTGACAGGAGTGCATTGATCGTTGGGAGTTCAGGCAGAACTGCCTCCTCTTTGCTGCTTTGGTTTTCCTCTTATAGCACCAGCATTGTAATAAACTACTTCTCTACTCAGAGATGGCTTTTCCAACACATTTTAATCAAAGGAACTGAGTGCATTATACTGATGTCTCAGTGGATCAGAGAATCTGAGATCCATTGCTAGCATACCTCTCCCTGATCAGCAGGAGGCACTAACCGGTTAAGCTCTGAATTCATCCTTCTGTTCCTAACCTGGGAAATTATCTACCCCAGAAACTTCATTCCATTCTCTGTGTTTGAAACCTGTCTCCTTAATCAATGACTTCAGATTGAGGAATGAGCCAAGTCACCCTACTGCCTATGGAAGGAGGTAGAAAGGATTTGGCAAGCTCAGCCATGTGCTGTGTACTTAGCATCAGTTGTCCCCAGCACCCCTCAGAGGAGGAGAGCCTGGAAGGGAAGGAAAAGGCTTGCTAGAGCTGCTAGTGATCAGCCCTTTGGAAGTTTCCAAAGCAAAGTAGGGGCTCAGAAAATCAGTCTGTTTACAGTAGTATTTTGAAGAAAATGAATGTGATTCTGCCCTGCTTTTAAAAATATCCAATAAATAAATTTTTATGTCAAATCGTTTCTACCAAAAAGCATGTTGTAGTTTTCTTCTCCCAGTTTCTTAAGGACTGCTTATGAAAAGCTTTGTTTCTGTTGAAGACAAAAAACAAAACCCAAAGGACTTGTCAAGTCTCCTTAATGCCGAACAAAGAACATAATTCCTTTGGTTTTTCTGCTTCTCACTTCTAGTACCATCCTTTTGAGTTGGCTACCAGTTCAGCCCCTTTGATTATTATAGATATCAGATTTTCTCTTTCTTTTTTATTTAATAGATATATTTATAAATCTTTACCCAACATTTGAGGAATATTTGTTTTTCTCAAGCATATGGAATATTTACAAATGTAAATACCAAAGGAGCACTATCATACAGACCGGTGTGTCTGCAACATAATTAAAGGACCATAAAAAAATAAAAACTTGAAGGAAAAAAAATCTATATATTTGGAAATTTTAAAACACACTTCAGAATAAGTCACTGATCAATGAAGGCACCATACAAGGAATTAGGAAATACTTAGGATAATACTGAGACCACAATGTACTGAGCTTTGTGAGATGAAGTCTTTAGGGAGGATTCTGGGAAGATGGCAGTGAGTAGGCACCAGGAATCTGTCTCCTGACCTCGACAACAATTACACTGGCAGAATCTGGTGGAACTCTTGTACAAGTCCAGAGTCTACCAAGGCTCCAGTTCCAGAGGAAGATTCAGATGGTAAATTGTGGTTTGGGTCAATCCACCTACCTATCCCCCAGCCACAGCCATGTAGCTGGCAGTGATGAACATGTTCCTGGAGCAACTTGCACACAGCCTGTGGGAGTCAACATGGGCAAAAAGGACGCTGTTCTCCAAATATCTGGGATTTGAGTTTTGAGCTCTGATCTCTGATTGCCGCTTCTGATCACAGAGGTACAGGCAAAGGGGTGGGCAACCGTTGTTGGACCTCTCCCACAGCTGTAAGCCCTGCCTCTGGCTGAAGTGATTTCCAGTGGATTTAAGGGGCTGATGCCCCCCTCCCATTCAAATATTCCCCCTTTTGGGAGCCAGACATTAAAAATTAGGACATTCAAAAACAACTGCATGTATGAGGAAAATTAGAAAATGACCACACATGCCCACGGAAAGGCTCAGAAAAGAGCCTAAGTTTACACCTCTGGCTCATCTGTAGCCAAGAGACCGCTGACAACAATCAAAATGCAAAAATAAAAAAAAAAAAAAAACAGCAAGTCCTGGGAAGTGGGTAGAGGGAGGGGGTATCTGACTTCCAGAGATACCACATTATTAGAGTCCAATGTCCAGATGTCTGCAAAGAAATCACAAGGCACAAAGAGAAACAGGAAAACATGGCCCATTTGAAAGAAAAGAGTGAATCAACAGAAACTGAAACAAGCCCCTGAAAAAGATCTGGTGGCAGATAAACTAGACAGACCTTAAAACGGCTGCCTTAAAGATACTCAGAAAACTAAAGGAAGCTGTGGGGAAGTCAAGAAAATGATGTATGAATGAAATAGATATATGAAGAAATGGCTAGATAGATAATCTAAGAAGAAACCACACACAAAACACAATTTTGGAGCTGAAAAGTACAATTGACATGAGAAATTCACCAGAGGGATTCAAAGGCAGATTTGAGTAGGCAGAAGAAAGAATATTGTACCAGAAGATAGGACAATGTAAATTACTGAATCTGAGGAATTGAAAGAAGATTGAAGAAAAACCACGTTAGAGCAAAGATAAAATAGAGAAAAACAACAGAGAAGATAAAGTTGGTTTTTCGAAAAGATCAGCAAAATGACAAACCCATAGCTAAGATAGACTGAGGAAGAAGACAAGATCCAAATTACTAAAATAAAAATGAAAATGGGACACTACTACGAGTTCTACAGAAATAAAAAGGATTATGGGAGCACTATAGAGCAGTTGTACTCCAACAAATTGGGTAACTAGATGAAGTGAGAAATTTCCTAAAAACACGAAACCTACCAAGACTAAATCACAAAGAAATAGAAAACCTGAATAGACATATAACAAGTAAGGAGAGCAAATCAATAATTTTAAGATCTCCTGACAAAGAAAAGCCCGGGAACCAATAGCTTCTTTGGTGAATTCTACCAAACATTTAAAGAACTAACATTTCCAGAAAAGTAAAGAGGAGAGAAAACTTCCTAACTTACTCTATGAGGCCAGCATTAGACTGACACCAAATCCAGACAAAGACACTACCAGAAGACTATAGACCAACATCCCTTATGATCATTGATGCAGAGCTCTTCCACAAAATACTAGCAAACCAAAATCAGCAACATATTCAAAGTATTACACGCCATCACCAAGTGGGATTTATTCATGGGATGCAAGGATGGTTCAAGATACAGAAACCAATCATTGTAATAAACCACATTAACTAAAAGGGAAAAAAAAACCATGATCGTCTCAACTGAAGCAGAAACACATTTGACAAAATTCAACACCTTTTTGTGATACATATGCTCAAGAAACTAGGAATAGAGTGGCACTTAGCTGGCTCAGTCAGAAGAGCATGCGACTCTTGATTTCAGGGTCATAAGTTCCAGTCCCACACTGGGTGCAGAGATACTTAAAAATCTCCTTTAGGGAGGACTGGGTAGCTCAGTCAGTTAAGCATCTGCCTTCGGCTTGGGTTATGATCCCAAGGTCCTGTCAGAGAGAGAGGGTGCGCTCCAGCAGCAAGGGGGAGGAACACAGGGAGAGGGAGAAGCAGACTCCCTGCTAGGCAGGGAGCCCAATGCAGGGCTCCATTCCAGGACCCCAAGATCATGACTTGAGCCAAAGGCAGACACTTAACTGACTGAGCCCCCCCAGCTGCCCCTAAATCCTGTCTTCTTTAATTTCAGGAAGTGTTTGTAGTTTTCACTGTGCAATTCTTGAAAGTCAAAAATAATAGTCATGAACATCACACATAAATATTTTGAAATAAATGTCATGCTAGTAGTTTGGGGTCATGTTCAGTCCTCTAGCTGCAGGTTTGAGAATTCTGTGAGTACAGGTCTGTTATGACAGAGGGAATTTTGGGTGCTGCAGAAGCAAAACAGAACACTTATCAGGTCTTGTGCTCTCTGTAGCTAAAATCTGAGCCACCTGGAGGCAGGGACAGTACCCTCTTTGCTCCCCTAAGAATGCCAGTCAGTGTACTTAACATTTGGATATCCACCCACCCAGTAGCCACAGTGACTAATCACGAAATGCAAATTTGATCATCTCTTTGCTTAAAATCCATTAAATGAATTGCTATGTGTTCTCCAAAGTCGGTGGTATGGTCCCTGTCAATCTCTCCCATCTTAGTGGGAAGTCTGTCCCTACTCCCTCGCAGCTCTGCAGTCATTCCGGCCTTCTTTCCATCTTCCTAAAACAATTTTCCCCCCAAACATTTCTAATTGCAGCCTACAGTAAGCCTACATTGCAATCTGGTTGACATATATAACAACAAACAAGATTTGCAAAGCAATACTTAACTTTATTACTTACGCAGTACACTCCAATGCTTTTTTTTTTTAAGTTGGCATCCATTAATGTTATAACCAGTTAATGGGGTACAACATGGTTGAAAAAAACTGTTCTAAGCATTCAATTGCTTTGCCTCAGGGTCTTGGCATATGTTATGTTCTCTGGAAAGTTCTTCTTGTGTCTTCTTTACCTGGATAAATCTTACCCATTTTAAAAGGATGAAATCAAAGGATGCTTCTCGCTCACTAGAGCGCGCGCGCGCTCTTTCTCTCCCTCCCGTCCACTGCCTGCATTTGAATCCTGGAGATCGTGATGCAAGAGTTAACACGGCCGAAGAACTCAGAACAGCGCATGGCAAATAGTAATGCTCCGTCTTTTATTGCGAAAGGTAGTAATTATGCAACTAATTGTGTGATTATTAATATGTCTTCCCAGAGCTCCCGAACTCTAAACCCCTTGATTATTTTTTGTTCATTTTCATAGTCCTAGCCTCACTTTGCCATGGCAAGTAGAAAGCACTCAGAAAAAACATAATGGATGAAAAAAAAAACTGCCCAAAAGGAATGAAAACCTAGAAGCTGGAGACAGCCCTCGTAGGGCGTCTTCACGTTACTCCAGAAGCACCGCCCCCAAACGCGGGCCACGCCCACCCGGCTGTCGGCGGTCACGTGGGACTCAGCTGGGGGCGGCGGGGGGAAGCTGGGCCAAGATGGCGACAATGAGGAACGCGCTGCCGCGGAGACTGGTGGGCTTAGCGTCTCTCCGGGCTGTAAGTGCCCCGGCCCGCCGAGGGGTGGCCCTGCAGGCACCGTGACAGTCGGGGTCGGGGCCCTGGCCCGTGGTGGCAGCGCTCTGAGAGGCGAAGCCGGACAGTTGCCCAGGCCACTGTCGGGAGGGCCTTGGAGTCTCGGATCTTTGTCCCGCCCACATCTTTTGAGGGGCATGGGGGGAGTGAGGCCCAGAGATGGGGAACGACTTGCTCGGGTCGTGGAGACCTGGGGCGCCATCCCAGGTGCCCTGATTGCGTCTAAGGCTCTTTCCGGCCACCCTGGCACCTTCTCCCTCTGAGCTCTCCAAGCTCCTCAGTAGTGACACGTATAATCTTCCAGTTCCGAGTGGAAAAAGCGAGGTCCTCCCCCTCCCTCTGCCTGCTTTTCCAGCTCTTGCTGCGTTTGGGGACTTAGGACCATGTGCGACTGATTGCCTTGGAATTGTACTTGGGCATGTTGGATCCTGATGTTTCCCCCACCAATGCTCAGTGACTGGAGGGGAAGGGTAAGAGACCTAGTTGAACGAGGGGTTGAAGAAATGGTTTTGGCTAAAGCTGAAGCTGTGGTGTCCCAGTGGTTCTGCCACTTTCTAGGTCGCATGACCGTGGTTTGCTCTCTAAACCTCAGTTTGCTCATCTATAACATGGGTAAACATTACCTGAGTTCTTTGGAGGTTAAGGGAAGTGGAGGTAAAGCATTTGACATTGCTTTAGCTCATAGTAAGTGATAAATGAGGTGCGTTAATTTTTCTTTAATTTAGAAGGAGTCTAAGTGTGTAGTGGGGAGATCACACCGTCTTCGCAAGTGGGCCCATCAGAAAGCCACTTTAATGTCTACTAGGCCACCCATCCCTACCAATCATTAATGTGTAAAATAAAGATGGTACTTCCAACTTGGAAGACTAAGAAAATTACATGAGATGGTGGATATTAATATGCTTTGAAAAAATTCCTGGTGTAATGAGGTCATAGGCTCTCCGTGGGGTTACTAGCAGAGGCTTGGAGTCAGAAACAGGTGGTTCAAGGCCAGACTTCACTTGCTAGCTTTGTGATTTTGGAGAATCTTTCTGAGGCTGTTTCTTCCTGTATGAAGTTGAGATAATGATAGTCCCTGCCATGTAGGTACTAAATGAGGTACAGATCCTGAAGTTAGCACTGGGCTTTAGTTGGTATTAGCTGTTGGTATAGATAGGCCATAGCTCAGGAGGCTTGACCCTGGACTTCTGTGGTTAGAGGAGATCATCTCTGAGCAGGGCTGTACGGAGGGAATGAACTGGGTGTTTAACCAAGATAAGAGAACACTGGTGGTGGCGGGGGAGGGTTCGGAGGGCCGAATGGTGGCAAAGAGGCAATGTGGCCCAGGTGTTAAGAGCCAGCGCTGTAGATCAACACTGCCAGGTTCAGATAATGACTCGTGACCAGCTAACCATGTGATCTTGGGAAAGTTACTTAATCTCTGGGCTTCATATTTTTCACAGTAAAATGGAGATTGTAATAGTTCCTACCGAATAAGGTTGAGAGGTTGATAAAGGTTAATGTGTAAAAGGCTCTTACGAGTGCCTGGCAAATATTAAGTGCTTAATACATGTGATTATTTTGTTGTTATGGGGAAGGACATGGAATTTTTTTTTAAGATTTTATTTATTTGACAGAGATACAGTGAGAGAGGGAACAGAAACAGGGGGAGTGGGAGAGAGAGAAGCAGGCTTCCTGCCAAGCAGGGAGCTCGATACCAGGCTCAGTCCTAGGACCCTGGGATCATGATGTGAGCTGAAGGCAGACGCTTAATGACCGAGCCACCCAGGTGCCCCAAAGGACGTGGAATTGAGTTTGTTCTGTTTTTGTAAAAGGAGCTTGGAAGCAGGTCTTGCGTGCTTTCAACAACATCCAGAAGTTATCTCTCAAGCCCCTGTTATGTCCCAGGGCCTTAGAATTACAGCAATGGATAAAACAAAGTCCCTGCCTCACGCAGCTTACATTCCAGTGGGATCGACTTAGGGCAACGTATCAGCAAAGGCTGAACAGCCCTGTTGTAGGGACATTCAACAGGCAGGGGACCTTCCAACCTAGCCTGGTGACTTCATGCAATTCAATGGCTCGTCACTTTAGTCTCTAGGAAGTTTTGCTGGCTGAAGGCAAGGCCAGTTCAGGTGAGTTGTTCAAGTTCCAGCTGATCTGTAGCAGGGAGCGCTTCCTTCCTTGAGGGTTTCAGGAGTTTGGGATCCTTAGTAGGTTACCGAGTGCACTTCTCCCCTTGCCCCACTGCAGTATGTTTATCCTGCCAGATTTACCAGATTAAATCTGGTAAAGCAAAGTTAATTTGAAGAGTTACAATATTAAGAACAGAGGAAAGAGGGAAAAGAAGCTTCATATTGCTTGGGGGTAAGGTGGAGAGGATTTGGGGCAGACTTTAAATGGAAAAGCCTTTTTTTTTTTTTAACTGTCTTCAGCTGTTGGTGTCCTCTCTCCCCAGATGCACCCCTTGTCATCACCCAGCCTGTGACTGTAACAGAACAAGTCCTCCTCCTTCCCTCAAGCCCCACAAAGTCCAAGGCTAACTACTCCTCCCCATACCTAGGAATTGCCCTTCCCCCGGGGTGGCTATGCCCTTCATGCATTTATTTGCTATTCCTGGAGAGGGAATCTCAAGCAAGCTCCATACCCAGGGCGGAGCCTGATGCAGGGCTCAGTCTCACAGCCCTGAGACCATGACCCGAGCTGAAATCACGAGTCGGACGCTCAACCGACTAAGCCAACCAGGCGCCCCGGGAATTAGAGTTTTGAAATAGAAAATGTTGAGGGTCAGGGGATCGGCAGCTTTACAAAGGGCAGTCAGAGGAGGCCCATCTGGCTGAACGATAAGAAGGAGCCAGATGTGGAAGAGCATTCTGGGCAGAGGGAGTAGTAAGCCTTGGGGCCCTGCTGTGGGAGGAAGGCCACTGGGGCTGCAGTATAGGGACCCTCTACTGGGAGGTGGGGTGGGGTGGGGAATATGAGGGAGTCAGGACAAGTAAGGAGTTCACCAGGAGATGTGGGACAGTAGAAACAAGTCATGAGTTCACTGAGATCAGCAGGAACCAAATGATAAGAACCTTCTAGCCCACGGGGAGTGGGGTAAGGGGATGAGTCAGGTTTCTGGCTTTAGCAATAGAATACATGTGGTGCTTTTTACTGAGAAAGCATGAAGCCAGACGGGGCTTTAGAATTTAAACAGTTCTGTTTGGGGAGGTGCAAATAGGTTTGTGGAGGAAACAACCTACATGCTCAGCTGGCAGACGGGCTGTTGGAAATGGGCCGGTACTAGGAGCAGGAATCTCGTGCCCATTCCTCAGTGAAACGCTTCTGTTCTTTATGTTTTTCCTTCCAAAACCAACCAAATGTGAGAGATATGTCATGTTTACAGTGAGAGGTACTTCGTCCCATCTCAGTGAAGATGGGTCCCTTCTTTTAGATTTGTCTCCTTGGAGAATTGTGACAATCTTCTCCCAACCCTTTTTGTTTCCTCTTTTAAACTAAAGGTCAGCACCTCTTCTCTGGGTACTTTCCCAAAGCGAGTGAAAATTGTGGAAGTTGGTGCCCGAGATGGACTACAGAATGAAAAGGTAAAGATGGAAATCAACCAAAAGAGGTTTTTCGAGCAGTAAGAGTTGCCTGTGGTGGGCGCAGAGGGATGGACAGAGCTGTGCCAGATCGGATCGTCCCAGCTGACACCAAGCAAAGTCGAGAAGTCGAGGAGGCCAGGTGGGGTGGGGTGACAGTACAGCAATCTAAGACGGTGGCATATCAGGTGTGGTGTTGCCCGGTCCGTCTCAGGCCCTGTGCAGCAGGGCAGATGGGAAAGGCCGCAGGAGAGTAGACGGAAGGTGAGGACATGCCTTCATCTGGCAATTCCAATTCTGCATGAGGGGACTTACCAAAGGATGTCATGAAGGCCACATGCAAAGACTTAACCTTAGAGATGCTCCTCACAACCTCGTTGTAATAAAATAGTTGGAAACCACCTCAGTGCTCAGTGTGGAGAAAGTTAGCTCAAATATACTTTAATGACTTCATTAAATGGATTAGGAAGCTGTACTAATATAGGAGTTTGTTAAGTGACTAAGCAGATTATAAAATCATAGGCATTTTCTTTAATCTTGCACTTTTATGTAAAACAAAAAGCTTATACATCTGTGGGAACATCCACCTAGAGAAGGATCTAGAATAGTGCTGTCCAGTAGCACTTTCTGTGAGGATGGAAATGTTCTAGATGTGAGCTGTCTTGGACACGTGGGTTTTGAGCACTTGAAATGTGACTGCTGTAGCTGGGGAACTGAAATTTTGTTTTTATGTAATTTAAATTCATGTAAATTTAAATAACCACTTATGGCTAGTGTCTAATATATTGGTCCGCACAGATCTAGAAAGTCACATTATCATGAGGTAACTAGTGTTATCTCTGGGAGATTTTAAGGATTTTTTTGTTTGTTTTGGGCATGTTTTCTGAAATAATTGCATTATTTTTTCTTTTCTTTTTTTTTTTTAGATTTTATTTATTTATTTGACAGAGACCACAAGTAGGCAGAGAGGCAGGCAGAGAGAGAGAGGGAAGCAGGCTTCCTGCCAAGCAGAGAGCCCGAGGCGGGACTCGATCCCAGGACCCTGAGATCATGACCTGAGCCGAAGGCAGCAGCTTAACCCACTGAGCCACCCAAGCACCCCATCGTGCATTATTTTTTCAATCGGAAAAGCTTTTTCTTTTTTTGGAAGGCTTAGCTTCAATAGTGAGAACTTATTGATATCAATAAAGTAAAAGTTCTGTGAGGGCAGAATCGTATCTGTTCTGCCCACTGCTGTATCCCTAGCACCTAGCACCATGCCTGGAACATGGAGGGCTCCCAGAAATTACTTATGGGATGGATTAAGGTAAAGTAATGGGAGAGAAATTGATGGGGTTGGTGTGAAAAGGCCTGGTGAGAAAGACTTTGAGTTCTTGGAATTTTTTTATCTAATCCTGTAAGCACTAGGGAGCCATGGAAGGCTTTTGGGCAGGAGACTGAAACAATGGAGACTGTTTTAGAAAGACTCCTGTGTGGGATGAATTGGTAGAGTGAGACCATGCCATAACATACAGGGAGGAATGGTAGTAGATTTGGAAAGAGAGAGTCGTAGAATCTAATGAGCAACTAGACATGGTGGGGGAGGGAGAGAAAGAAGTGGGAGGCCTACCATGGGAGGATAAGGTCTGGTGCCAGTTCAGAGACGGAAAAGGGGACCCAGACAGAGGGTTAGTCATCACTGCCCTTTCAGGCCACGGCACATGGCTCTCAGTTTGTTTACGATGGGGTCATAAATCAAGAAACAGTTAAGAAAAAGGCTTTATGATACAAAACTGTTGTTTCTGTGTACACATTTAGTCCTCTTCAGGCGAGAAGCTGCCTCCACTGCAAAGTACTATCTGTAGAACTTGAAGCTGTCCCCCACCTGTTGGCCTGAAGTACACGTGGATTCGTGCTTGTGTCTGAAAGTCGAGATAGCGAAGTGCACGCTGTAGCCAAGCTTTGGACTAACAGGCACTGTGGCTGAGGCCATTTGGTTCCCACTTTTGCTGACCTGTCTTTTCTGGTGTTTCTTTCTCCATCACAGAATATCGTATCTACTTCTACAAAAATCAAGCTGATAGACATGCTTTCTGAAGCAGGACTCCCCGTTATAGAAGCCACCAGCTTTGTGTCCCCCAAGTGGGTGCCCCAGGTGAGCCCCAGCCCTCAGTAATAAGTGTTTCTCAGATGAGACAGATGTGAAGTTTTGCAGTTGCCCTGGAAATACGTAGACGTTGGGAACGTAGGGCTCCAGATCTCTGGCTTGCTCTCGTGACTTCTGTAAGCATGGGACAGCAGAAGACCATCACCCGGAAGGCAGGAGGCTTGGATTTGGTCTTGGCTTTGGCCCTGACTTGCTTGGGGACCTTGGTGAGATCTTCCCCTCTCCAAGCTTAGGGTGGTCTCTCAAGCCTCATCTGGCTCTGGAAGTCTAGAATCTCTAGCCCTGTCTAGAGATGTGGCGTCTGTGTTTGTAAAAGGGAAAGACAGGTGACTCCTGGTTCACAGAAACAACCAAGTGGGAAGAGAGATCTTTTTCAGCTGAGCGTTAAGTAATACAGAGTTTCTCGGTAAATGGCTGGTAGTTTTGTTGCTGCTTGTGAGAAGCTGTCAGTATTAGCCATAGAGAGAAATTGGGGGACTTACTGCACTAAGGAGCCCTGGGCCCATCAGCGGTCAAACAAAGAGTAAAAGCACTGGAGATACTCAGCTCTGCTAAAGGACTCCTTCTCCGGGGGTTCTAGACAACAGAGATTGTGTGATAGAAACGTTTTTTCTACCTGAGCTCTCTGCCTGCCTTGGCAGTGACCTGGTAATGTCTCCTTTGGCTCCCAGATGGCTGACAATGCTGAAGTTTTGAAGGGCATCCAGAAATTTCCTGGCATCAACTACCCAGTCCTGACCCCGAATATCAAAGGCTTCCAGGCAGCGGTAAGAGACTCGCTTGATGGCGGGGGTCCCTAAAATGAGATTGATGATGTTGGTCCCTGTCTTGTCACTGGGCCTAGTCCCTGTCCTGGGCCATCTGTCTGAAGGGCTTGCCTCCAGTAATGATGAGCACTGTCAGACAGACCCAAGGCAGTCCTGGCCCTGCCACCCCCAGCTCTCTGACCTTGACCAGCTGTTTAACCTCTCTGAGCCTCAGATTATGCCTGTAAATTAGGGCTGATCATAGTACCTAATGCTGGAAGGATTTCAGAGGCTAGAATGCACCCATATTACTTACCAAGAGGCTTGGAGAAAGTAAGTGCTTAGTAAATATTAGCTCTTGTTGTCATTATCCATTTCCTCTTTAGAGAAGATCGTGCTCCCCACAGTGGTTGCTGGTATCTGCCATCTTTCCTGGAGTGTTGGACAAGAACGTCACTGGGGATGCTGATTCTGAATTTAGGCAGAAAGCTGTTCTATATATATATATGTGTATATATATATATATATATATATATATATATATATATATATATATAATTTTTAAAAAGATTTTATTTATTTATTTGACAGAGAGAGAGATGATCACAAGTAGCCAGAGGCAGGCAGAGAGAGACGGGGAAGCAGTATCCCCGCTGAGCAGAGAGCCCGATGTGGGGCTCGATCCCAGGACTCTGAGATCATGACCTGAGCTAAAGGAGAGGTTTAAGCCACTGAGCCACCCAGGCGCCCCAGAAAGCTGTTCTTAAGAGTGACATCCAGGACGGTGATGACAGCAGCAGTGCTGGGCCCCGGCGGGAAGGCTAAGGGTGGTTGTGTTTCTTTGATGGGGCTAGAATGCACTGTGTTCATTCCTAGGGGTGCCATAGGAAAATACCAAAAGCTTAGGTGCCTTAGAACAACAGAAATGTATTCTCTCACAGCTCTGGAGGCTAAAAGTCTGAAACCCCGGGGGTACTGAGTTCCTCCACATACCACTGTTCCCTCCTGAGGGCTGGGAGGACGTGGCTGTCCTAGCTTCTGGTGAAGACTGGCAGCCCTCACTCACCTCACTCCCATCCCGCCTGTGTCTTCACTGGCCTCTGTGTGTGTCTTCATACGGCCTCCATCTTAGAAGGACGCCATTCCTATTGGAGTCACGACCACTATGACCTCATTTTAACCAATTACTTCTATACCTACCCTATTTCCAAATAAGGCCACATTCTGAGGTACTGGGGATTAGGACTTCTACAGACCTTCTTTTGGTGGGGGGGGGTGGCAGAGTTCAACTCATGATATTTGTGTGTTATAAAATTCACTGTAAGACAAGGGTTTTTGCCACTTTGCCAACGCTGGTGTTCCTCAAGAGAAAAAAGCTGAAAGGAATTCACCCGGCTATTGGCAGATTGCCGCTGGAGCCAAGGAGGTGACCGTCTTTGGAGCTGCCTCAGAGCTGTTCACCAAGAAGAACACCAATTGCTCCATTGAGGAGAGTTTACAGCGATCTGATGAGATCCTGAAGGCGGCTCGGGCCGCCGATATCCCCGTGCGTGGGTGAGTCACCCCATGTCAGTGCCGCCTGCCTTCTCAGAACCATTCTGGAAAGGTGGCCAGGCTCTGACTCAAGCCACCTTCCCCCTACAAACTCCTTATCCTGAGCACAGGCTGCCTACACTCCACACCTTGACATCTCTCCTCAAGTAGATGTGGTCAGAAGAAATCCTGGCAAGTGCTTTCTCCAAACCTGGTTTTGGGGTCTGTTCCCCAGAGGAATCCAGCAGGACAGGACACTCGCCGGAGTCTGTGGAGGTCAGATGAATCCCAGCTCCAGCACCCCCATCCACACAGGTCTGAGGAACTCTCAGCTTCTAGGTCTCCAGCATCACATCTTTCACGCCAGGAGTGCTAGGCATCATCCCTGTGTTATCTGACTGTGACCCCATGGTCACCAGCAAGCAGGGCTGTCCCTGCTTCCAGAGGACAGAACCGGCTCAGGAAGGCCGAAGAGTCGGCTGTGAGGTCGTACACTGTCCACACTGCAGCCAGCGTGCTCTTTCAGAAAGTGCACGTGTGATCACCTCACTCCCTGGTTAAAACCTGTCAGTGATGCTCCGACTCTGGACTTCCCACCTGGCTTCCGAGACACTGACTTTATCTGCAGCCTCGTTGTCCACTGCTGCTAACCATCCAGCCCTGCCTCCGCAGCTCGCTGCATTCCAGCCTGACTGGAACTTCAGTCCTTACTTCCATGCTCCCACTCTCTTGCCTCTGGGCCTTTGCACGTGCTTTCCATAGACTTAGTCCTATATCCTACTTGTCCAGGCTAACTCTGCTCATCCTCCGGCTTCTCCAGGAAGCTTTTTCTGGCCTTCAGCTGGTGTTAGTACCACTCATCGGGCTCTCAGGGCCCCCAGATATCCTCTGACAGAGCACTTGGCTTCATGTTAGCTTCTCCCCTGCCTCCCACTCCCGGTGGACCCCGCGCCCTGTGAGGGCAGAGCCCACGTGCCACAGTTTATGGTGGGCTCCCTCCTGCAGTGCAGGGCCAGCACGCCAGGTGCTGGGGAAGCAAGGGTTGGGTGGCTGGGGGGTTGTGCGTGGGGAAGCAGGGGCCCATGGGGTCTGCCTGACTCTAAGCCTGTGCTCGTTATCAGCATCTCCCTTCTCCTTGCTCAGCAGTGACTGCTGGAGGAGGAGAAGGAAGTTGGGAAAACACTCTGAGATCTTTGGGCCCGAAATGATGTATCCAGCCAAGTTTTGTGATGCTTCTCACATGCTGAACAGTTTACCAAACTCTAAGAGGTCTCAGTGGGGCCTTAGCTCCAACAGGGCAGGTGGGAACAGAAGCCCACCAAGATCTGAAGATCCAAACTCCTTCCCACAGCTGGCAGGGCGCCGTGATCGGCCTGCGCCCACCCGTCCAGCCACGTGCTGTGTTCTCTGCCACTGGCTCTCTGTGCCCAGCTCTTCCGTCCTTCTGAGCTTGAGCACATCCTCTCTACCATCCCGGGCTCCACACTGCTCTGCTCTCTGCCTGGGATGCTCTCCCAGTGGCTTCTGCCACCTGCTCCCCTCCTCTGCTCCCGTGTCACGGCCTGGAGGTCTTCCTGGGCCACCCTGGCTACGGCCAGCCTCCTCTCCTTGCTCCCGCCACACCACCGTTCTTCCCTTCATGGCACATCTCTCTGAGATCATCTCACCTGTTCCTTCGGTTGCCCTTTCATCAGCTCGCTCTCTAACTGGAAATAACCTCCATGAGCATAGGGACCTTGTCCGTCTTTTCACTGCATGACCCAGTGCCGGGCACGTAGTGGGCAGCTCTCTCAGTATCCGTCGAATAGATGAGTGTGAATCCTCGGGCGGCTCACTGGAGCAGCCGATCCTTGGCCCTCAGGCCAGCCCAGCCCTTTTGTTCTGCTTGGTTTCATCTGTCCTTGGTCCCTTCCTGGGAGTAGGGGCCCCAGCTACCCTGCGGCACATGTTCTGCTTTATCTCAACGCCCTACGGCTCCGATGCCTGCTCACTGCCCTCTCGGGCTTGCTTCTCTCCTCAGGCCTGTGCAACCCCAGCTTCCCATCCCTTCCCTGCCCTGGCTCTCCGCCGCCCCCTCCTGGCCCCATGCGTGCTCCCTGTGTTCTCCCCCCTTCCCCCCCACAAGGAATCTCCCTTTCCCCCACGCATTTGACCTTGCCTCACTTCAGGGAGGACTGTCAGACAGCTACCCGGGTCAGCCCTGCGGGCCTGGGAGCTCAGGGGCCCTGACACCATCCCTCCCCTGTCCTCCCGCAGGTATGTCTCCTGTGTGCTTGGATGCCCCTATGAAGGGAAGATCTCCCCGGCCAAAGTAGCTGAGGTGTGTGTATATCGGGCCAGGGGTTTTCCAAGGGTTGTCTGCCTTGCCTGCTTGTGAGGTTCCCCTCATCACCCTTTCCTGGTGGGTCACTGATGTCATTCGTTCCCGCAGCTCCTTCATTGCGCCTCTCTGGGAGCACCACCCAGCACTTGCTCCTGGAGGCCCACCTCCTAGCGTGCTTGAAGCCCCACCCTCTGCCCCAGCCTGGAAGCCTCTGACTCAGTTTGCGGTCTGGTCAGTGGACAGGTGATAGTTGAGGTGATCGGTGGAGGGGCTCCCTGCCCAGGCTCCCAAAAGTTCCTCACCCTCGCTGTCCTCCAAGTGGGAACCAAGTCAGCACTGAGGAGAGCACAGTGTGGGAACAGGGTCTGAGCAACCCAAGGGCATATGCCCCTTAGTTGTCAAAGTCACTGTGCAAATTTGGTGTTATTGTTAGTCCGTTTCTCAAGCGAGGAAACACCCCCCCCCCCGCCACCCTTCCCGCATAGCAGGGAGCATCAAGGAGAGAGCAGTACTCCCGGAGAGTGGCCGCTCTGCCCCTGTCCCAGCCTCCCGTCCCGCCAGCCCTCCCTGCCACCCTGCAAAGCCTCACCACTGCTTCTTGGAGAGATGGAAGTTCCAAAAGGATCAGCCCTTTGCGGGCACCCCCCCCAGCCAGGGAGCAGCTGAACTGGGTTGGGGCCCCAGCGTGTGTCACTCCAGAGCCCGCCCCTTCACTGTGGCCTTTGCCTCCACCCGCTGTCCTCAGTCTGCTGCCCGGGTGGTGGGGTGCTCGCCAGTCCCATGTGCCTGGCAGGCCCGTGCTGAGTGTCCTCTGCGTCCCTGCCCTGTCACACCGTCCACTTGGGGCACCGCCATGTGGGGCAGCATCTCCTCGAGGGGGTACACGTTGCACTGGTTTCTCAGTGGTTTCAGGGATTTGCAGATGAGCTTCTAAAAGTTTAAACAGGTACTTCTGTTGAAAATGGCTGCTCAGACCCACGAGGTCGCAGATCTTACTGAAGACAGTTCTGTGAGAGGAATCCATTTTCCTGATTCCGGTTGTTGGCTCTGACGCAGGGCATGGAGGTGACACGTGAAGTCAGAGGCCACGGGGGCAGGAGAGGGTGGGAGGAAAGCTCGGCCTTGCAGGGCCCGCTCTGTTCCTTACATCTCTGCTTCCTAGTGAGTAGAGTGGGGGGTTTCGTCCCCACTCAGAGTTGTAAGGAGCCTACGATCGAACAGGAATTTAGCGTTTCGGACAGGGAGATGTCCTGCACAGGCCCAGGACCCCTGCTTCTGAGGTCTTGGACTCCTGGCTTGAGGAATCTGATGTCCTCCAAGTGCGTGCTTGCTCCCTCAGGTCACCAAGAAGATGTACTCGATGGGCTGCTACGAGATCTCCCTGGGGGACACCATCGGTGTGGGCACTCCTGGGGTCATGAAGGACATGCTATCTGCGGTCATGCATGAGGTGCCTGTGGCTGCCCTAGCTGTCCACTGCCATGACACCTACGGCCAGGCCCTGGCCAACACCTTGATGGCCCTGCAGGTAAGGTGGGTCCGAGGAGAAAGGCGCGCGTCCATCCTCCAGGAGGACATAGTGGCAGGCCAGCTGGGCTCCCGGGTTCTTTCAGTGAGCACTCACGGATATCTGTGTGCCAGGCCCTGGACGGCCACAGAGGACACGGACACGTGACCCCGGCCTGTACGGGTGTGTGAGGGGGACAGTCAAGGGAGTTTCATGGTAGTCCTCATGCGTTAGGACAGGTCGCTTGCAGGGAGGAAGCATGTGACTAAGGAAGGCCTCCGTCCCAGCTTGGGTGGTCAGAGTGGATTTGCCACCAGAGACCTGAGTGAGGCCTGGAGGATGTGAGGAAGTGAAGCAGTTGGAAAAGGGGGAACAGGAAGCTGATGAGGTGGGGTTTGGGGAGGACACACCCCCAGGCCCACCGAGTGTTGTGACTGCACATGCGCTTAGGGAGCGGGCAGGGGAGGCAGAGAGGCAGCAGAGGTCACTCCAGGGGTGCCGCTCCCCAAAGATTGAACTGAGGCTTCAGATTGGGTTTCCCTCGAGTTTTGCTCCTTGTGGGCTAGGAAGGAGGATTCTGTGAACTGGCCACCCCTTAGAAGGAAAGTTCTGTGTCTGACCACAGGCTGTGTCTGTCTTGTATCTGACCTTCCTGTCACGTTGGTTGAAGTCTGGCCTGTTGCCTTTAGGTTTGCTAAAGCAATCCTGGGCCGTCTTTGTTCTTAGGGTTTGTTTTCTCCTTTTTTGGTTGGTTGGTTGGTTGGTTGGTTGGTTGGTTTTTTTTTTTTTTTTTTTTTTTTTTTTTTAAATATTAAGTTATCTCCTAGAGGCTCAGGTCTGTAAGCCATATGATTCTGTAACTTTGTTTTCTCCATTGTAGCTGTCCAGGTTAAGGTCTGTGAGAGGTTTGAGGGGAGAGGAGAAAGGGCAACATCATTAGGAAAGTGGGCTGTGCTCGCCAGGGAAATGGGATAGGCCGCCTGGGGTTAGAGGCCCAACTTGAAGTGAGAGCAGCCTTACTTAGGTGGGGGTGGTGGGGGGTAAATGAATCACAGGAAACAACGGAGGCCTGAAATCTGAACCGTGGGTAGTGCTTCCTTTAGGTTTGTGATCAGGAAGGGCCTGGGGAGACCTCTCAGGGTGAGAAATTGAGCATGAAAGGAACCAGGGAAGATAACCCTGGCAGAGGAAACTGTCCACAAAGAAGACTCACACTGTTCCAGGAACTGAAAAGAACCATTGAGGGACACCTGGGTGACTCAGTCGTTAAGCATCTGCCTTCGGCTCAGGTCATGATCCCAGGGTCCTAAGATGGAGCCCCGTGTCAGGCTCCCTGCTCAGCGGGAAGCCTGCATCTCCCTCTCCCACACCCCCTGCCTGTGTTCCTACTCTCGCTTTGTCTCTCTCTGTCCAAGAAATAAAATCTTTAAATTAATTAATTAATTAATTAATTAAAAATAAACAGACTCCTCAGCCAAAGGAAGGAGTAACTCTCAGTGGAATTTCAGGTAGCAGTTGACTGGGAGGTTTGCAAGGACCTCCTGGCTTTGTAGACTCTTGTCCCCACAGTGACACCCATGTTTCACCATCCTTGTGTTTCCAGATGGGAGTGAGTGTCGTGGACTCTTCTGTGGCAGGACTCGGAGGCTGTCCCTATGCACAGGGGGCATCCGGAAACTTGGCCACAGAGGACCTCGTCTACATGCTGTCTGGCTTGGGCATTCACACGGTAAGCTCGCCTGCCCCCTGGTGGCAACAGCCCTGAAATGACTAGAACTCTCCTTGAAGTCCGAGGACAGAAGTGGATTGTTTTGTTGAGGGTTTTTTTGCTGATAGCGAGGAGAGCTAAGAGGTAGCAGAGGAGGCACCAAGGTGTAGGGAAAGGGCCACATCCGTGACCTGAATCCGTTCCCTCTGGACCTCTGTTTCATTCCATGTGAAATGAGGGCAGGAGAAGGAGACAGCCCTCCCCAGGGCTCTGTCAGAGTCCGTGAGGACCCTCAGTGGTAGGTTGGAAGCAGTATCACGTCTGAGCTTTGGGACCAGATGGATCTTGGTTTAAAACCTGGTCCTCCACTCACGAGCTGTGTGACCTGACAAATGATTTCACCTCCCTGGACCTAAGAAACGTGAATGCTGGCAGCACCTCCCTCATGGGGCCGTAGTTACTAGGTAGAGTGCAGAGTGCCCAGCCCGGAGCTGAGCGCACGGTACACACCAGTACATGTGAGCTCCTGGCACGAACAGGTTTTCGGGATGGTCCTTTCGGTTGGTGCTTCCCTCCTGGCTCGCTCTGCCTGGCGGTCTTTATCACTTCAGTCCGCACTTGCTGACTGCTGTGGGCCGGGCCCTGCGCTGGGCGCTGGAGACGGGGACGGAACAAGACTGGCGAGATCCCTGCCCTGGTGACAGCAGTAGAAACCATTCCACAGACGGAGACATCTTACATAGGCGGAGCCTGGAGGGGGTCACCCCAGACGGCAGAAGGCTGCAGCCTTGCAGGCAGGGGCTGTCCCAGCACAAGAGGAACAAGAACCCATCTGTCTTCACCATTACTCTCTCAGTACTGGTTTTGGGTCCAGTCCAAGGTCTCCCTGGATACTGCAGGCATGGCATAATCTAGAGCATCCTCTTGTTTCTCGAAGGGTGTGAACCTCCAGAAGCTCCTGGAAGCTGGGACCTTTATCTGCCAAGCCCTGAACAGAAAAACCAGCTCCAAAGTGGCTCAGGCTACCTGTAAGCTGTAAGCCCCTTTGGGGGACTCTTTGGGAATAGGGGCACTCGTGAATGATTCAGGAAAGGGCATGTGGAAATGGGAATGAAATCACCCGGAGCAGGCACCTCCCTAGCATGTCCACACATAGGTCTCCTGCAAAAGGGAGGCAAGGGACAGGAGCTGCTTGGCCTCTGGCCCTTCCTGCCAAACTCTAGTCTGAGTGAGAAGCCTGGAGTGCTGTGGGTCTCCCTGCCCCATGAACCCACCGGCCCAGGAGTTGAATGCCCAGTTCCCTGGTGCTCAGGCCCCATCTCTGGGTGAGGTCCGTCAGCAAGCTACACAGCCTGACCCTGCTGTGGCTCTGGGGCCATCGCTGACTCCGTAGGGCAGAGGGGCCTGGAGGAGTTTTTCCCCAAGCTGGCAGAGGACATTTGCAGAAGGGGTGAAGGCTGAGCTGCTCCGGTGACCACCTGCTAACGCCAGCGTCTTTGGAAAATGCCGGCTCTGAACATGATTTCTGAGCACAGCTTGTGTAATTAAAGGTCTAATGACATAAAGGCGTGTGCCAGTCTGTGTTGTGCAGTTGTGTGCGCAGGAACGGGGGAGACCGGTGGGGAACAAAACCTCTCCACAGCAGGGCATTCTGAGAGGAACGTGTACACCTGCAACTAGTCTGCACGTCTCTGGATCTTCTCCGTTTCCCCACCTGATTCCGGAATTCCTAATGACTGCAAACCCACGGCTTTGGGCCCGCTCCGGCCTGGCCAGAACACCCGGGAGAGGTGGTTGCGGAGGCTCCTGGGTCTGTGGGCAGGGAGGTGCGGGTGTGGGCGCTGCCGTCTGTCCCTGCAGGACTCCGGGCGGGCTCGGACGGCGGCTCATCAGGATGCCATCACCTGGCCCCACCTTTCCTTTAAGCCGAAGCACCGCCTCATTTTCTAGCCGACTCTGGGAGGCGGGGTGCGGACACACCGACCATCCCCGGCCGTTCGTGTGGGGGTTGAGCGCAGTCGGCAGCGCGATCTCTCCCTTGGCCGCAGAGCCTCCCCGGCCCCGCGGGGAGGAGGCCGGGGGAAGGTGCAACCACACCTCCCAGAACCAGCTTCCTTCGGTCAGCACCGCCCCTGACGGCCTCTGGGGCTCGCGGTCGCTGATTTCCTGCGGAGCCGGGCTCGTCCGCCCCGCCTCTCGCCCCAGCACCGAGCCGCGCCGCGCAGGCGCCTTGACGCCACAGCGCCTTTGGTCCTCCCGGCGCCCGGTAGCGCGCTCCCCGGTGACACGTTTCCTTGGGGGCGTGGAGGGGGCGGGGCCAGGTGGGCCGTCGGCTCTTAAAGGGACCCGGACGCGGGGCGCGGGAGGCGGCGCCGCTGGAGGCAGCGCGGGGCGCGCGCGGTTTGGAGCAGGTTCGCGAGGCGAATGGGTGGGAGGCCTGGCGGGCTCGCGAAGGACTGGGTGGTCTGCGGAGAGCGAGGGAGGGCTTCAGGGATCCGGGCCGAATCCTGGGTAGAGTCCCACTAGGGCAGGCTCCTGCAGCTTTCAGCTCCCGCTTCCTTGGCTGGGGCGGCCCGGGTTCATTCATTCCCTACCCGGGGACTCCGAGCTCGGCCCCCTCGGAGCCACGGCCCAAATCCCAGACCGACGCTCACCGCCTCCTCCCCTCCATTTTGCAGACTGGGAAAGCCGAGGCGGCGATAGCCGACCGAGGTCACCCCGTTGGTCCGAGGCAAGGCTGGCCTCACCAGCCTTTCCGCCTCCTGGGACCCCATCCACGACCACTTCTAGGGCTTCCGCACGGTGGGGTGGGGGTGGGGGCGGCCTCGGCGTCCGGAGCAAAGTCCAGCTGAAAGCAGTGGTGAGGGGGAAGGGTGAACCGCTTGGCGCGAGATTAGCGAGTTGTGAGCCTGGAGATCCGGATTCTAGCCGGGCTATCACAGCTGTGTGTCCTCAGGCAAATTACTTAACCTTTCTGACCTTAGTATCCTTCTTGGTGAAGTGCCAGCCGTCACACCTGGCTCATCAGGATGTTGAGGGAATCCAGGAAAATAATGCAGAAGTGCCCGGTACAGAGTCTGGCACGCAGCAACCGCTCAGTTAAGTGGGTGGGAGTGGATAAGCCCAGAGGGGGGATTGAGGCAGCCAGGAGGAAGGCGGCTGCGGGCCAGGCCACTCCGAATGAAAGACCTGAGTGTCTGAAACCTCCTCCCCCCACACCCTCCCACCGGCCCGCAGAGTTTGTTCAGGGCGGAGGTGCACACCTGGCAGTGGATTCGGAACCAGGGCCACGTCTACACTGCCTGTCTCTGTGGGGCCCAAAGTTGGGTGGGATCCTTAGCTCCTAGCGGGCAGTGACCCAGCTGGCCCTGGCATGCATTCGTAGAGGCTGAGCCAGCCTGACTGACCTGGGGTGGGGCCCATTCCAGGACCTTGGTGCTGCAGCCCCAGAGTTGGGCTTTGCCTGCCTGGCAAAGCACCCACCCTGGGGCCATTTGGTATATTTCCTGCTTCCTCCCAGCTGACTGTTGGAGAGGGAGTCTGGGGCGCTGCCTAGAGCAGGATATTAATCACTGGTCACTTTGCACCTAGTGATGGCAGAAGGACTGCAAGGCCTGAATCGGAGCAGGCAGAACCTCCTACTGGGCTCTTGGGAGGCGCAGTGCTGCTGCCATGTTTACTTCTGGCCAGGACTGCCTAGTCCCCAGACACTTTGGAGGGTTTGGGTTTCATCTTCTCAGTCCCAGGTAAATTGGGAGTAGAAATTATGGTGCCCGCACATCAGTCTCCCCACCCGTGCAGTGTGCCAGGCCTTTCAAGGCACCTACCACATCACGTTCATACAATTACAAGCTCAGCTTCTAGAGCTAGAAAGTGAGGCCAGGAGAGAATAAGTGATCTCCAAGGCCTGCAGCCAGATGTGGAGCGGGGCCGATTCACCAGGACACACTACCACTGCCCTCCGCTGTGAGCCAGAGGCCCTGAGCGGGCAGTCTCGGCCCCGTCTGACACTGTGTGTTCTGGGCCAGGTACGATGGCAGAGAAGGTGCTGGTGACGGGCGGGGCTGGCTACATCGGCAGTCACACTGTGCTGGAGCTGCTGGAGGCCGGCTATTTGCCCGTGGTCATCGACAACTTCCACAACGCCATCCGTGGTGAGCACAGGGGCGGGGGCTCGGGCTTCAGGCGGGGATGGAAGGAAAATTGTGGGTTCCACACCACTTCCTATGGGTGTGGGTCTCCCTCATCACTGGGGAGCCCAGGACCCATGTCCTCTTTTTGATGGCCTCCCTTGTGCTCAACCAGGAAGGGGCTCCATGCCTGAGAGCCTGCAGCGGGTTCAAGAGCTTACAGGCCGCTCTGTGGAGTTTGAGGAGATGGACATCTTGGACCAGGCAGCCCTACAGCGTCTCTTTAAGAAGGTAGGTGCTTGGAAGGCAGGGAGGGGGCACTGCCAAGGGCCAGGCCTATGCAGCGACCTCTGACCCTGGCCTCACCCCTGCAGCACAGCTTTACGGCAGTCATCCACTTTGCGGGCCTCAAGGCAGTGGGAGAGTCCGTGCAGAAGCCTCTGGATTATTACAAAGTTAACCTGACTGGAAGCATCCAGCTCTTGGAGGTGAGACGTCACAGACAAGGCGGCAAGGTCACAGACACCGGGAGGCCCAGGCTCCCACCCGGGCCGGCAGGACCAGACACCGGATGAGGGCCTAGAGGGGACAGTCAGGCGGGGCCCAAGCTGTACCATTTTAGACACAGGTCTCTCCACCTCTCCATACCTTTCCGCCCCAGTCTCACCATCTGTAAACAGGAATGCCCAAACCTCAGCCCCTCTCCCCTGTGAAGGAGGAAGGGGGCTGGAAATAATGTGCCAGGCAAAGGCCACTGACACCTCCCCTCCGTGGCCAGATCATGAGGGCCCACGGGGTGAAGAACCTGGTGTTCAGCAGCTCAGCCACCGTGTACGGGAACCCACAGTACCTGCCCCTGGATGAGGCCCACCCCACGGGTGGCTGTACCAACCCCTACGGCAAGTCTAAGTTCTTCATCGAGGAAATGATCCGGGACCTGTGCCGGGCAGACAAGGTGAGGGCCCTCCTTGACCCAGCCCTGGTTCCACTCACGGACTCAAGGCTTCCCGTGAACCTGAGGGTGGGATCCCGAGCACCACCCACCCAGGAGGAAGGACGACTCTGGAAGCTGCAGTGACTCACCCCATGTCCTGGCCCTGGGCTGGTGGACCCAGCTACTTCCCAGGGATAGAGCTCAGGCATGGCTGGGGAGCTGGGGGTGCAGGTAAAGAGCTCAGGATTGCGCCTGCGTGCGGCCTCCACCCTCACCCCGCCCCCACACGTCCCGACCTGCGTCCCGCAGACCTGGAACGCGGTGCTGCTGCGGTACTTCAACCCCATAGGCGCCCATGCCTCGGGCTGCATTGGCGAGGATCCCCAGGGCATCCCCAACAACCTCATGCCTTATGTCTCCCAGGTAAGGGGGAAGGGCGGGGGCGGGGCAGGGCTAGGATTGAAGGGTGCAGCTGGTGCCCAGGGTCTGGGAAGAGCTGACTTGATCTCCACTCCAGGTGGCGATCGGGCGCCGGGAGGTACTGAATGTCTTTGGCAGCGACTATGACACGGAGGATGGTACAGGTGAGCCGAGGACCAGGAGGACCCAGGAGTGGGAGCCGGGGGGAGAGTGAGGGCGGACAGACATGGTACTGGAATTCCCCACACCCAACCACCTCTCTGCAGGTGTCCGGGATTATATCCATGTTGTGGATCTGGCCAAGGGCCACATCGCGGCCTTGAGGAAGCTGAAGGAGCAGTGTGGCTGTCGGGTAGGGAGAGAAGGGAGAAGCGAGTCTGGAGAGGGAGATGGGGTCCGGAGAGGGCAGTTGGCCCAACCCGCTCCACCACCCGTTCTCTCCTGGGCAGATCTACAACCTGGGCACAGGCACGGGCTATTCAGTGCTACAGATGGTCCAGGCCATGGAGAAGGCTTCTGGCCAGAAGGTAGGCCGGCTGTACTCCAGCCCCACATCGGCTCCCCCTGCCCCGGCTTCCAGAGCGACACGGGCCCTTCCCAGGGCCAGCTCAGCTAAGCTATAGCTGCTTCCTCTCTCCCAGATCCCATACAAGGTGGTGGCACGGCGGGAAGGCGATGTGGCTGCCTGTTATGCCAACCCCAGCCTGGCCCTCAAGGAGCTGGGCTGGACAGCAGTCTTAGGGCTGGACAGGATGTGTGAGTTTTTGCCTCGACCCCTGACTCTGGGTGCTGGCTTGACCCCTGGGAGGGAGTCAGGGGCAGGGCAGGGGCTGCCTGGGTCTGAGCAGGCCCACCCTGGGCTGCCCAAGATAGTGGGGTCCTGCATTCCAGTGTGGACCCTCACTCCACCTGCCCCCATCACAGGTGAAGATCTGTGGCGCTGGCAGAAGCAGAATCCTTCAGGCTTTGGTGCACAGGCCTGAGACCCTCCCCTACCATGCACCGGGAAAGGTCCAGCCTCTGGTGGGAACCCAGGGGTCTCAGCCTCCCCTACCTCAAACCCCAGCTGGGCCTTCTCAGCCTACCAGGCACGAAGCCAAGGGTTCCACTGATCAGGAGCTGGGGGGGGGTCCGTAACTCTTCTCTACAGCAGGGTCCAGGAACCCATCAGGACCACCAGAAGTAAATGGGGGAGCAGCGGGGCCCAAAACAGGCACTAATTTATACTGCTCTGAAAGAGCTTTCCGAAGTATTTAAAATAAAAGTTTTCTAACGCTGAGATTCTTACACACAATCAGTCCCTACCCCTCAGACAGAATCATCCAGCCTGAGAGTTGAAGCAATTTAATTTTATCGGAATCCAGGACACAACAAGAAAAACACCCAAAACCACATGGAGACAGAAGACGAGACACAACTCCTCCCCCACCTCCCCCCTGGCGCTAGAGTGGGGACAACGTGGGGGTGGGACAGCTGGGGGAGACCTTGAGCCTCAGTCCAGCCCTGCAGGCTCCAGGCCTGCGGGGGAGCAGGGTAAGGGGGAGGCAGGGCCCAGCCCCCACATTGGAGAGGCTAAGGGAAGGCCCCCTTCAAAGGACTCTGCCCCCTCACCAATACCCCTGCCCAGGGGCAGGTAGCCCACAGCAGCACAGGGGCCCAGGGCCATGGACACATTCATGATTGAGAAGCAGCTGGAGAGAAGGAGGAGAGACACACGATTATCTGGGCAGAATCACTTGGGGGTGGAGTGGTAGGTGGGGCCTGGGAGGGCCCCATGGGCCAAACCCTGAGGTCACAGGAGGGGGCCCAAAGCGGGGCTAGTGAGTGAGGTCCTGAGTGAGTGGGTCAGCGGCTGGGCCCCTTTCTCCCGCTGCCTACAGCCCTGCCCAATACTGCTGCCGGGGGGCCTGCCTCCAGGGACACGGGAGAGGAGGGCAGCCCACCCCCTGCTGCAGAGAGCCAGGAGGCTGAGGCCAGGAAGGAAGGCCTGGCCAGGCCTCAGCCCACCTGCCCCAGAGGCCTATGGAAAGAGGACAGGTCAGGGATGGTGGGGACGGGCTCGACCGGCTCAGATCCAAGATGGTGCCGCACGTGCTGGGCCCCCCAGGAGCTGGGGGACTGCGCTGGGGGCCAGCGCCTCTGGTTAGACAGGAGGCAGCAGCTTCTCAAGAAACTCCTTCACAGCTGCCATCTCCTGGGGGTGAGGAGGGATTGTGAGAGGCTCCCAGCTGGAGGGAGGAGAGAGGGCTAGGAGCAGGAAGGGGCCCCTCATCACTGACCTGAGGACAAGAGCTGTGCATGACACCTGGGTAAGTCTTGAACTGGACCCTGGCAGGTGTGACAACAGACCGGAGCTTCTCAGCCGTCAGGGCCCCAAACCGTACTGGAACCATGGGGTCCAGCTCCCCATGGCACTGAAGGATGGCCAGGTCCTTGGCACTGCCATTGGCTGCCTGTGGGCCAGACAGGACCTCCAGGGCAAAGCCAATGCTTCGGCACAACTCCCAAGCCACAGGAGCCTCAAAGGGCAGGAGTGGGGTCACGGAGACACTCACCTGGGGGAAGGCCCGGTGCAGAGGCAGCCAACAGCTCAATGCGACAATGCCAGCCAGAGGGTGGGGACAGGTAAGGGCCGTGTAGAGGGACAGGGCCCCACCCTGGAGGGAGGAGAGAATGAAAGGTCATGAGGGCACAGCTCACCTCCCACCTCCCACCCCCTCTGTCTCCCCTCACCTGTGAAAAGCCTCCCAGGACGATTCGATTGGCAGGGATCCCATTCTTCATCTCGTGCTCAATCAAGGCCTTGACTGGGGGAGGGGACATGACTGGGTAGGGGAAAAGCCGCTGGGGGGCCCAAGGAAGGGAGCCAGACACTGCCCAAAGCTTTCTTGGGGAGGGCGGTGTGGAGAGAGGAGGGCGGATGCTGAGGAGGGCTGGGGCCTTACTGTTCTCTGCTGCCTTCTTGATGCCAGCCTCGTCCTCGGGGGCATCTGGACTCAGCCCCATTAGGTCAAACCTGGGGGAGGAGAGAGGTGTTGGTTCCTGGAAGGCCCTGGCCAGCCCCCTGCAGCTCTCTCCGCTCCCATCCTTTCTCCCCGGCACCCCCCGCACAACACCCGCACCAACTCACCAGGAGGGCATCACCATCTTCATGTTGAGGGTCACAGGGATCCGGGGTCTGGGGAGGGGCAGCAAGAAGGGCCATCATGTGCAGAAGGGATGAGAAAGCCACAGCAGAGAGCCAGGAGGGGGCAGAGTAGCCCCTGGGGGCCCCTCCCAACAGGGAAGGCCTGTGTTTAAGGTGTTGCCAGGCAACCTGCCACGTGGGGCTGGAGGCTGTGGTTGGGGCACCATCAGAGCAGCAGAGCCTGACACTCGGTGTGACGGGGTTCCAGCTCAGTGGGTGAGTACTTGGGGAAGGGGCCCAGGATCTCCTGGGTCTAGAATATCCCTGCTCTAGGAGGGCCTAGGGCTGGGGCTCCAAGCTCCATGAGAGTGAAGGCTGAGAATGGCACCTCTAACTGCCCTGGGCCCAGACCACAGGATGCAGCTGGCAGGAGAGAACAGGCCTGAGACCACAGGACCACCCCCCCCGGTTGATCCCCAGTCTCCACTCCTTCCTTGCTGGGGTGACACTCACGCATGGGGACAGATGTACTTGACGTGAGGGAGCCGGATGGTGGAGAGGGCGTCAGCCCAGCTGTGCCTGTAGGAAGGGGAAAACAGCACCGACGTGGGGAGGGAGAGAGGGAGGGCGCAGACCCCCCCCAATCCTGCCCATTGGGCCCTTTTCCACCTTCCCAAGGAAGTACCTCCTCCCTCTCCAGGTCACTCACCCTGTGTCTCCAAGTCCATGTAAAAAAATAACCTGAAAAAGGGTCAGACATGGGGAGGTGGGAAGAGGGCAGTCACCACCCTACTCTCATTTCCCCGCAGTCCTCCAACTTCGGGCCACCCCCCGTGCCCCCAAGGACCTGGGGGGAACTATGGCAGCAGCCAAACAGGCTATTAACCCGTCACCCCCCGCTTCAGTTTGCTCCCTTCTCAACTGTATCACCTCCATTTTCCCCACACCCCTTCCAGCCAGTTTCCCCGGCCGGGCTGGGGGGCCGGGCTGGGGGCTGCTGAGGGCGGCTGTTGAGGGGGGGTGCTTACCGCGGCCGTTTCCCGCTCAGCTCCAGACACGGTGGCAGCATCGGTGAGCAGGGGCACAGACATGGTGTTACCACACATACACTGCAGGCTCCACGGCTGGGGCCTGTGCAAATTCAGGGGAGCGGTCAAGAGCAGGACCAGGCAGTGGGGAGAGACTCCTGATACAGGAGAAGAGCCTCAAACCGAGGGCCCACTCAGACTGTCAGTGCCCCGTAACACCCTAGGTTCTGTCCCAAGGTGCACCAAGAAAAGACAGGCAAGGCAAGCAAAAAGTCTCAGGCCAGAGCAGGTAGGAAGTTTGCCTCCCTTCCAGGGCTGAAAAGCAGAAGAAGCCACCCTAGTGCCCCCTGGTTCTGGCCCACCACATAGCCTGAGCTTGCTGGGGATTCAGAGGGGCAGAGGGAGGGCTGAGGGGCTGTGGGGGAGGGGAGCCAGGGCATCCCCTGCTGTCGTGGTCCCCCCACTAACTCCCTCCTTTCTGCTCTCTGATCATCGTGCCTCTAATAGAGCCCCGGGTTCCCTCCTCCCCAACTCCCAGCCCTACTTGGAAACGAAGGGGAGAAAAATGCCAGAAAGTATGCTTTCAGACCCTACCCCCAACACCCCCCCCAACACACACATTTTCTCCAACCTCCCCCCACCCCGACATCCAGCCCCCACCCGGCCTTCACAAGCAGTTTCTGGCTCAGCCATTCCTAGAGCCCCCGGGGCTGCCCACGTCCCCAGAATGAGGCACAGACTCCCATCCACTACCCACCCCATAACTGGTGCCCCACGCCCCACTGAATGGTGCTACCTGCTACTGCTAGTGCCCACTGAATCCAACCAGGTCCCCCAGTTTGACCATGCTCTGGGACTCCCAAGCACACAAAAGAATGTGGGGCTGGCTGGCTTCTCCGCATCCTTAGCATCCTCCAAAGTCCCCAGAAGCTACCTGCCCCTAGGCGCCTACCTTCCCAGTGGTGTCCACCCCCCCACACCCTTCCCACAGCTTCAACCTTCCATCTCTGACCCCAAATGTGCCTCTCCACGTGGGATCCCTCACCTCTGACCCTGGGGTCCTTCTTCCCACACAGGGATGCACCTTTCGCCCTAAGCTGGGACTCCCTTCCTTCCTTGCTGGGAGACTTCCACCTCTCACCCCAGGGTCCCCCTTCTCAAAGTGATGTCTTCCCCCCCTGAACAGGGAAGGGAGCTCCCCACAGTAACTACTTCCACCCTAAGCCAAGGGCTCCCACTCTCCACACTCGGAACGTCTGTTCTGACCAAGGGTCGCTCCCTCCCTACAGTGACATTTTCTACCCTGAGCCAGGACCCTCTCTTCTGCCCACAAAGGGGTGTTCTACTTTTGACCCCGGGGAGCCCCAGCCCCACAATGGGATCTTCCACTTCCGACCCTAAGTCCCTCCCATCCTAGCCGGACGCCTTCTTGCCCCTCTCTACCCGCAAAGTCCCCAAGACCGGCCAGCGCCTCTTCGCACTTCACTCCCCACCCCCATCCCTCACAACCGAGGTCGCCTCCCCACTCGCCAGGACCCCCGCGGAGATCCGGTCTCCTGCCCCCACCCTCCCTCTGTCGGCTGGCCCCAGACAAGGGTACCTCCACTCCCTGGGGGTTTCGAGACCTCTCAGGCGATTCTCCTCTTTCTCCTGCACAGACACACACTCTTCCCCCTCGGCCGCCCCCGCCGGAACTTCCGTTCGAGTCCCGGGAACCCAGCCATCGCGCTGCCGGAAGTAGCCTGGCCAGCGGTACGGAACCCGGAAGTGGGCGTCGGCGATCCTCCAGATAGGAGCTGCCATGTTGGGTACGGTGGGGCCACTCCCCGTAATGAAGCCACCGAGTCACCGGCAGGTTCTAGGCAGCGCGTCGGTAATTCCCGCCTGCTACCACCGCCCATGCGCCTCCTGAAGGAGAGCTATGCGGAAGGAGAGCCAGCGCTTACACTAGCATAGTTTCGGATAGATCATACACTGGATGGAGGGCATCGTGCACTGAAGACATCCTTAGTGGCCAGCTCGGCCTCCACTCTTATTCTAAAGATGAGGAAACCGACGCTCAGGGAGGGGAAGAAAACAGCAATTTCAGGATGACACTGTAATGCTGCCTCTCTGCACCTGCGT